AATTCAACCACAAACACTTCGTGCCGTTGGCTCGGGGATTAACACTTCCACAGCGCAAATTTGCATGCATGTGGATATGATCAAATGCGTTTTACATCAAGTATTACGCTTACCTAATTACATTCTTAGCCTGGAATATTCTTGTGGTTACTTCTTAATGGTTTTCGTCCTAACCAACTTCCCTGTGGGAAGACCCGAGCACCAGGTGAAAACCCATCACCTCAACCACAAAGCAGATTTTATCGTCACCTCGGTTTGTTTATTTACATAATTGTTTGTCTACGTACTTGTTATTTTCACTTGTCTGCACTGTCGGCATATTTTTAGAGCCATATAAAACATCAACCCAAGCTGATCCATGAATTATGTACTTTTGACTGTGCGGTTATCAACCGAAGATGAAGTGTGTATAATTCGTCGAAATAATGACCAGTTTATTTCTTAATTTCAACGAAATGACGTCATTATTTTGATTATTTTTTTACGTATCAACGATATTGTGTCACTCTGTTTCATATTATATAAAAACTACATTTTTATTTGGTAAGCTCATCTTACGTGGTATATGACGATTTCACATTTGGCTGTTACCCAATCTGAAACCATTAACTAATCTTTTTATGAATTATTGAAAAATCATATTTATCCAAAAAACATGGAATTGTACGTATTTCCTAAAGTGTTAAATGAGTTATTGTTACCATCGCTTTGGCAACTTGTAAACAAGCTAGCTTCGTGCGAACAGATCTTGTTGAGAAGATGTGCGATTCTTACGTCAGCGTTACTGACGATTTTCTCGTTGAATGGCTGCTTGGTTGCTCGTTGGCTGATTGGATCGTTCGTTGATGTTTTGTCCAACAAATAGTTGATTGATACAATTATTTTAATAGTTCCAGCGTTGACGTTGGCAGATATTATAATATATATAATATCTTCCAATGTCAAAGCTGGAAGTATTAAGCTATATATCCACACACAATGTTCCCTCTGATATGGAATGTTCATTAAGTAATGGTAATGAGCTGGTCGACATGTACATGTTGGATTTAAATACAAATTTGGTACTATACAAGCAATCCATCAGTAAAGTACTAACGCTACTGACAAGAACAACGTGGTAAATTATAGTGATGTTCACGGCTGAGTGTTTTTTTATCGCTGTTAATAAATGGTATCTAATAGCTTCTTAAAGTCGGCATGATACGAAACAGTTTATGTTCTAAAATGAACTTTTCAAACCATAGTGTGATTTCTATTCCGTATTTTCATATAAATGTTTCATTGTTCAGACATTTTATTTTTGACTTCAACAGTTTCTGTGGTCAATTGAGTGTGGGGCAGTTAAACAATGGGAAATGACCAGCCTGCTTTGCGCGCACTGTTTACCTAGTGTGAATCGGACTTATCAGAACCGGAAATCGGGCTGGAGCACGCGTTCGTTCTTTTGATTTTGTCAAAAGCAGCAACGACAAATGGCAAACGGTGCTCGTTTGGAAAAACAACCGCAAACTACACTAATTCTTTCTGTCACTTTCATTTGATCTCATCCGTGAGCGGCCGGCCTCAACGGCCTTTGATTTAATGAAACTGTGAAACCAACTTGACGTCGTATTTAGTATGTTACTTAGTATTATTATCTTCCCGCTCGAAAGCGAATTTCGAAGTTATTTACAACATTTGCTTAAAACTATCAATATTAATAGCAAAAAATCATTTTCTTATTTTAAGAAAAAAAAAACTTGTTTTAAGAAAATTTTCTTGAAATAAGAAAATATTTTCTTGGGAGAATAACAAGAAAATTTTCTTAATAAGAAAATTTTCTTGAGAAAAAATTCTTAAATTGAGAAAATATTTTCTTATTTTAAGAAAATATTTTCTCAAATCAAGAAATTTTTTTTCTTATTAAGAAAATTTTCTTGTTATTCTCCCAAGAAAAAAGTTTTCTTGAAATAAGAAAATTTTCTTAAAATAAGAAAATAATTTCTTATTTTAAGAAAATAATTTCTTAAAACAAGAATTTTTTCTTAAAAAGACTTTTCTTATTAAGAACATTTTCTTGTTATTCTCCCAAGAAAAAAAATTCTTGAAATAAGAAAATTTTCTTAAAATAAGAAAATAATTTCTTATTTTAAGAAAATAATTTCTCAAATCAAGAAATTTTTCTTAAAAAGAATTTTCCTATTAAGAAAATTTTCTTGTAATTCTCCCAAGAAAAAAAAATTCTTGAAATAAGAAAATTTTCTTAAAATAAGAAAATAATTTCTTATTTTAAGAAAATAATTTCTCAAATCAAGAAATTTTTCTTAAAAAGAATTTTCTTATAAAGAATGTGTTGTTTGGGTGTTTATATATGTACAGTTACTCAGGTGAATATTGTTTTTGATGATACTCTGAGTGTATATGCAGTTAGCAGAGCATTAGACTACTTGCGGGTTCGATTCTCACAATGGTCAGGCTAACTTTTCAGCCTGCCCGGTGTGGATATATACACTCAGAGTAACATAGTTACAAAACATCAAATTATAGTCAATTTATACAAGTTCTTTTTTCAGCCACTGTTATACAACTAGGTGTAGTTCTGATTGCACAGCAATGTGTTGTAGCAAATTTAAGTTCTCCTGAAGACCTGATGCAGTAATTTTTCAACTTTTTCCACATGACAAGCAATATTATCTGGCCAACCGTTTGTTCAAAGTCCATAGATTTCTTTATAATGCACATTAAACACTGTTCCAAACACATCATGCAAATGCCACTGGAGATCCATCATATATACATCCTTATACAGCTAGTAATCTGTAAAAGGAAAAGTTTACTTATATATTGAGAATGTAATCATCACTCTACAGTAAAGCTAAGTATTATATGTAGTGTATACAAAAAAATATAAATGAATTTATTAGCGATTTTCAGCAACCTTTCGCGCTTGTATTCGACTTTTCTGCGTTGCTTGGGGGACAACCTTAATTGAAATAGCTATTATATATATACAAAATTGCAAGAACAATAGACCTGGAGACTTGCTTGCTAATCTGAGTCACTCCTCAGTTACCTAAGTTAACTCTTTAGATTAAAAAGCATAGACGGATTTTGTGGGGCGGGGGGTGCACTACCCCTCCCCCCAATATTAGCTATAACTCCTCCCCCAAACAAAATGACCACCCCTCCAAAAAACTATTTCAACACCCCCACCTCCAACATTCGGCATAATAAAAAATAATTAAATAGTCCACTCCAACATGCAGAGTGTTGATGATATAAAATAAACGTAGGAGTACACTCAAATAGAAAAAGACAGTGCATTCACTGGTTTATTGGAGCAATTGTAAAGTTTTGAAACTATATTATCTCCCCTGAATAGAGTTTGCAGTGCCTTCTCATGCAAATACTTAGCTTGCTCGGAAGGAACATTTGGATTTTTTACAAACATTATTTTTAGTTTTTAATTCTTTTAGAAAATGGACTTGCCTAGATTTAATCTTTATGCCCCAATTATTATTTAGATCGGAGTTGCATCATAAAATGTATTCGGATTCAAACGACACAATGTCAATGACTTTATAAAACTGGTAAAAGCATATTGTGTATTGGCCTATTAGGTTTACACTTTTACAGGTTCATTTAACTTTTAATTAACTCTCCCAAGTCTCATCAGACAATCGGACATGCCAAATCTATTGATATGACCACTTCAAAAAACTCTTTTCAAAGCTAGGAATCATGATTTTTTAAATTTTTTCCAGGGATACTTTGTTTTCTGGTCTCTAGACTCCTCTACTCTTCATGGAAAATGAAGACGCAACTTACAAACAAAAATACATATAGCCCACATAGTTTCCACAAAGACATATTACAGAAGTATGCAGTGCCGTAGGAAGCTCTTTTTGATTGGAGGCTGAGAACTAGGGCCGAAGGCCCGAGGAAATTTTTAAATTTGGATTCTCTGAAATGCCATTCCCTGGACTTTGGGGGAAGTTTTGACAGAATTCTGATGGTCAGAAAACCGAGTTTTAATCAAGCTGAAAAGGCAAGCTGAAAAGGCAAGCTGATGACTTTTCAGCTTGGGCAAACTGAAAAGTGTGCCTGGCCACGGTGGGAGTCGAACCTGCGACCTTTGGGATACTAGTCCAATGCTCTCCCACCTGAGCTACGTGGTCAAGTCGGTTCGACTTGTTGATATTTCGGAACTGAATCTAGTTCCTTCGACATCAGTGTAATCTTTGATATGATTTATGTGTGTTGGTGTTGTGTACTCAAGTGAATATGATGTTTGTGATGTTACTCTGAGTATGCATCCGCTGATCCACACCGGGAAGCTGAAAAGTTAGCTTGCCCACGTTGGAAATAAAACCCGCGACCTTTGGGATGCTAGTCCAATGCTCTGCCAACTGAGCTACGTGGTAAAGTCGGTTTGAGTTGTTAATAGAGTTTTAGTATGTCGAAATTTACAATTTGATTACAATTTAGTAGGGATGAGCCGATAAAGAAAATTGCCGATTACTGAGGCCGATTATTTATTAGCCGATTATCGTAACTAATCGGCCAATTAATCGGCACCCGCCGATTATTTTACAAAGCAAGTGAAAAATCACAAGATGACCAACAATGAAGTTGTAAATGCGGTTTTATTGTTTACAATACACATTATGTACAACTGAAAACAGCTTCAACTTGCATGTCAATAGCCAAAGTTTAGTTTTGGCATATTATGGTGTAAAAACAGGATATTTTGAACTATGCGGAGCTAGTCTGCTGCCTTTTTCAGTGGATTGAAATGTTCCCGCTTCACTTCGCTCGAGACAAAAGACACAGATTTTGCAATAAAATGTGAAAATCTATTCGTTTGTATTCAGTATTTTAGCATGTGCTTGGCAGCTGCAGAAAAAGTTTTATGGCCGATTATCAAGCAATAGTCGGCCGATTACCGATTATTTAAAAAACGGCCGATTAATCGGCTTTGCCGATTATTTACCGAT